CCCCCCCCCCCCACCAACTCAGTCAACCCCACTCTGTCCTCGGTTGTCCAGCTACCGTGGTGGCACTCACGGGGCTCCCCTCGCCTTCCCCCTCGCCGGAGCGAAAAGCTCAAAGAGAAATGCGTCGCTGCCGACTAGATTTGTGACCTTGCCCTCACAATGGCGTGTGCGCGAGCACCGCGACCCCTCACAAACTCGAAATATACTGGGACCCCATTCAAATCGCGCAGACTCCATTCAGCGTACCTACGGAATATAGTATCCGAGAAGCAGCAGCGGTCGGGCCTTTTGTCCGCGAGATTTCTTTCAACGTGTATAGGGCCCCGTTCTTCCCCTCTCGTCGTCCCTTACCCTCGCCCCTCGCTCTCACTCTCTCTCTCTCTCTCTCTCTCTCTCTTTCGCTCTCTCTCTCTCGCTCTCTCTCTCGCTCTTTTTGCCGCAAGCGCTCTCCTTCTTCATCCAATGCTGAATGGGAATAAGAGAGACGGAGACTCTCTCGTAGCCTCCCTCTACGCAGCGTTCCTACCCTCGTGCATTTTTACTACGCCCCTAGAGCTCGTGAGGGCATCGATTCGTTTCGTTTCTTTCTTTTTTCTTCTCTGCCGGGGCTTCTCATTCTCATCTTATACGATCCTCTCTCTCCCTCTCTCAAACGCACACGCGCGCGCGCGCACGCACGCTAGCACGCACGCAATCCCTATCTCCCACTCCCTTCATCTCCCCTCCTCCTTCGTTTGCTCTTCTCTCACTCTCAGTCTGTGTGATTGTCTCTCTCTCTCTCTCTCTCTCTCTCTCTCTCTCTCTCCGTTACGCCGAGATTTCGATTCCGGAGGGCTGAGCTTCTCTATAGCTCAGATATGTATGGACTTTATTCGCGCCTCTGCTTCCCCGCCGCTTTTGTCCTCTCGCCTTCGGACATCGATCAAGTCTCTCGTTTTTACTTTCTTTTTTTGTACTTTTTTCTTTCTTTTATTTCATTCTTTTTCTTCTTCTTTTCATTTAGACATTTTTGACACTTTTTTCTACCCCGATATCGGAACGCTCATTGTAATGAAAATTATTCGTAGACGAAGAACATCGTTTATTTTTCTTTTTTCGTAATTGTTTATTTTATGAATATTTTTCAATCCAGTCAATTAAATCGATTCCATCTATAATATCAATAAATCTTTTGCCCTAAATCATTATCTATTATAAACATTCTTTACTTTTTATTCATTAATGTCAAATATTACAACTATTCAGATAATCAATTTAATACGAATCGTTAACAAGTTCTGCGCACTTTACTTCATTTAAATAAAAACCATTTAAGCGAACAACAAGAAAGCAGTCGCGAATAAAAAAAAAACAACCACTCATTGAAATTACCAGAACTACGAGCGTCAATTTCTCCTTATGCACTAGCGAAACTTGATTTATAAAACAACAATTCGCAATTGTTGAACGAATGAAAGTGTAGCTTAAACGAACAGAGTCGTTAAAAGTCGTTAGTTACGTGTTTTATTTTTTTATTTTTTATTTTTTTTTTTTTTTGTTTCATCCCTTAACCTCTCTTATTTCTCCTCATCATCTTACTTACTCTTGCACTCATTTCATCGCAGTAATCTTTATCTCCGTCCCTCGTTCTTTCTTTCTCTATTCGCTCGCTTGCATTCGCTGCATTTAACACGAATGCATCCCGCAGGCGGACTCTGGATAAAATGTAAGAAGAGAAACAGATAGATGGACAGAGTGAGTGAGTGAGTGAGTGAGTGAGTGAGAGAGAAAGAGAGAGCGTGAGAGGGCGAATGAACGAACTAGCCCCTTTTGTCAGTGTCTGTTCCTGCGAACCGGTATACCATATAGGTATAGGTGTATAGTACCTTCAACATTATATGTCTCTCTCGTTCTATGCGAGCCCCTTCGTCTATTTCGAAAGGCAAAAACCTTCTTTTACCTGAAATCATCCCCTGTGCTCTTTTCCTTCTGTCTCTTGGCAGCGCTGAATATTTACTTCAAAATTAAATGTGGATTTTTTGCCGCTGTCTTTTCTTTTCTTTTCTTTGCGTAAGCGCATATTCTAATTTCCCAGCCCCATTATGCAACGGTGAGTTTTTACTCGCTATTATTTGCAATGCTCGTGCCCATTTTGCGCACTAAATAATTACGAGGGACCTAATGCCGACTATTAATATTCTTTATGTAATTAACGTTATGGATTGTGAGTGTACTTTGAAATCAGGCGATTTTTTCATCGGCCAAGCAAATATTTTCCTCCCTTTATGCTATTTCCTTTCGTCTTATTTACCTACCTTTCCTCCTCATTTTTTCGCCGCTCTTATAAGAAGGCTCGGTATACCTGTAAAATCCGCTCTCCACTTTTCCACGTATACCTGGGCTGCGTCGAGCCTCGATCGTCCCCCATCATCCGAAAATACTACACACATCTATAACGAAATGAGCGGATCCCTTCCGTCGTCCTCATTGCGACCTTTGGCTTTATTACCGCTATCCTTTATTCCTACCACTTTGTACCTGACCATTATACACGTAAATCCAGTCCTGTATATAGAGCGATTATGTATAAACACGTGTGCCTACGCCCGTATCCATATATGCATACATACATACATACATACATACATACATACATACATACATACATACATACATACATACATACATACATACATACATACATACATACATACATACATACATACATACATACATACATACATACATACATACATACATACATACATACATACATACATACATACATACATACATACATACATACATATATATATATATATATATATATATATATATATGCGTGTGTGTATATATGTATATATTTTATGTATATATATCCATATAGTGGGCATGAAATTATGGTATATAGCACGCGTAACTTCACTCATCCTCAATGTCTCTTTTCTTTAATGTTACAGAAGGCTGAGCAACGAAGGCATAGCCACTAGAGGTGGATAGGTGATTCGCGCCAGGAGGATGCAAAACTCGCGCACATAGCGATTTAATCGAAGGACCTCCGATGATGCGATCTAGTCAATTGTTCAGGAAGATAGAGGCGGAGGAAGGAACAGCACGTGCTTGTCGTTTTATCCTTAACGCCTTTTCGACTATGGCCATGTCTTTAAATTTAAAGACGCGCGATTAATCGCGCACGACTGTAAATATAATATTTATGCATAACTGGTCTGTCGGATTGATTTTCACGCCATTGTAATCAAGCAGAAATCACCGACACCCGCCCCGCCGATCTACTTGATCGTATAACACCGAATCCAATTTACCGTCGGAGCCTCCGATGCCGAGATCCGAGGCCCGAAATTACGATGCGGGAGTATAATATACCATGTATATATATAATAAAACGACTAATTTTCAATGCGTTTTTCCATACGATTGTCTCGACATTGAAAGACACGCGAATGCACATTCGTTGCACTTTATGGAATTAAAAAGAAAAAAAAATAATAAAAAAAAAAAAAAAAAGAAAAAAACAAAGGAGAGCAGCGATTAACTGCGAATCATTCGCATCCTATGCATTCGAACTCGACATGGGACAAGTTTTTTTTTCAACCAGCTCCTTGCAAAGGAAGAAATACTCTGTATTCCGAGTGCCAGTGCCTTATATGGGAAAAAAATCCTTTTTTTTCCGTAGATAAAACGACGACGAACTTATTGTATGGCTGTAATGTATATGTATATAATCTTATATCGATCAGATGATCAACCGTTATTACATTAAATAAGAAGTTATATTATAAATTATAAGTGTGCAATTATTTACTCAAAACCATCAAAGTTCCATATGAAATTATTTTCAAAATAGTATCCCTAATTATCCCAAGCCTACACTATAATTTTCTGTTTTTTTGAGAAACACGTCTTCATTGATTGATTTTGACGTAATGAACGTTTCAGTTAAAAGTGTGAAACGTATTTCAACAAAATTGTCTTTAATTTTTCTATTTCATATTATTCGATAGGTCCTTAAAGCTTCATTTTCTCACAATCGTTTATCGATTGATCAAT